CCCGCCCCGCTCCGCCCCGCCCCGCCCCGCCGGTCGCGTGCCCATACCACCGCGAACTCGGCGAGGAGGGCCTCGAGGGCCTCGGGGCCGACTAGACAGACGGGCCGGCTGATCCGCCGACACTATCAATCTTCATAATCGCCACACTGCAGACTCGTCGCCATTTTATCATTTTAGGGGCAAACCCACACCACACACTAGCTGTGCACTAGCTCGGGTGCGCGTTGAGTGAGCGCCCGTGTGCGTGTGTGTGTGTGTGTGTGTGTGTGTGTGTGTGTGTGTGTGTGTGTGTGTGTGTGTGTGTGTGTGTGTGTGTGTGCGTGTGTTTACGCCTGTTATTAAGCGGAAGGCAGAGGACATTATTGGCCGGTTTTGCTCCACGATAAGCGCGTGTTTCGCGCCAATCAGGGAGCCACCAGAGCTCGGCCTGCCACTCGCGGCTCGACTCGCGGGCCCGGCAGGACAGCTCTGCCCAGCAGACGGCACCTTAATCAGAAGCGACTAAACAGAATCACGGGCGCGTTTGTGCGGAGCTAGCAGCTCGGCCAACTCCAAGAGGCGAAGCCTCTCTCGGCGTGGTATAGTATACGTGTGAGAGCGTGCGTGTGGTTGTGGTTGTGTGTGTGTGTGTTAGTGAGCTCGCGCTGGTGAGCGTGCGCGAGCGCCGTATGTTTTCCCATTCATCCTGAGGACCCAAGAAGACACAATGGTCACGCCTGGCACGCTGAGGACGACTGTCCTGCCTACACTCTTGGCCACCGCAGCAGCAGAGTCCGCCAGATCGTCCTTCCTGGTTCGTGTTGTAAGACAAATATAAAAACGAGACTTTATAGTTGTTATTGAGTGGTTATTTTTAAGCGCCGCGGGTATCGGCCGCGCCCACTGCTGCGCGACACGCATGTGTGCTCAACCCGCGAGGAAGAGGCTGAAATAGCAGAAGGAGCCGCGTCACCGCCCTCCAACAGCGACACAATATACAGCACAATGATGTACTTGACAGTCCTTCGTCACGCCCACTCGCGCCACAAAGAGAGCGCAGCTGCAAGTAAGTAGTAAGAGTGCACTAAATTTAGCGATCAAAACAAGCCCCGTCACCTCGCACCTCGCCAGAGCTGAGCAGCGGGAGAGAGGGAGAGAGAGAGAGAGAATCAGATTGATCTCGGGATGCCAAAATCTTGAATGCGTCAAACGTCGTGTGTCTGCTGCTGGCAGCTGTGGGCTCTGTGGCCCCAGGCGGGGTATTTATTCGTGGTATGGCATGTGGTTAGTGCACTGCACAACTGCGCATGCACGAACACATGTCTCGAGTGGAGTTGTTTCTCCCTGTTGTTCCTGTCCATGTCTCTCACTGTCTTTCTCTATCTCTCACACACAACCACACGCACGCAGACACACACCTATCTCAGACCGCCTCAGACAAACATTCACCGCTTTCATTAGACCCAAGCAAGGCCAATATTTGGCACAGTTTACCTATTAAAAATAAAAAGTAATGAGGCAACATTTATGCAGCCGACATTGTGTGGACCCATCCTCTTATCAATGCAGCAGTCTATCCTCAAGAGGACTGGGCGATAGCTTGTCGTGCCGTGTCTACGCGCCCCTCTCTTTCTTTTCCCCTTCCCTCCCCCCC